TTCCAACCTTGTCGGTCTGGCCCTAGTTCTGTTTTTTTTGTTTGGTTCCAAGGATGAAACAAAAATAAGAAAAAAATGTTCATTGGGACTAGAACCGGGATCGAGACCACCCGGTTTGGTCCTAAAATCAGTAAACCGGAACCGGATACCCATCATGGCCAGACAAGGGCGGTTCTAGGCCCGAAACTGTAAAAAATGAAACTCATCTAGTCCCAAACAGTATCGGACCCAGTTCCAATGGTCGGACTGGTTCATGCCTACATGTACGTGTTGTTGTTGTTGTTGTTGTTGTTGTTGTTGTTATTGTTATTATTGTTATTGTTATTGTTATTGTTATTGTTATTGTTATTGTTATTGTTATTGTTATTGTTATTGTTATTGTTATTGTTATTGTTATTGTTATTGTTATTGTTATTGTTATTGTTATTGTTATTGTTATTGTTATTGTTATTGTTATTGTTATTGTTATTGTTATTGTTATTGTTATTGTTATTGTTATTGTTATTGTTATTGTTATTGTTATTGTTATTGTTATTGTTATTGTTATTGTTATTGTTATTGTTATTGTTATTGTTATTGTTATTGTTATTGTTATTGTTATTGTTATTGTTATTGTTATTGTTATTGTTATTGTTATTGTTATTGTTATTGTTATTGTTATTGTTATTGTTATTGTTATTGTTATTGTTATTGTTATTGTTATTGTTATTGTTATTGTTATTGTTATTGTTATTGTTATTGTTATTGTTATTGTTATTGTTATTGTTATTGTTATTGTTATTGTTATTGTTATTGTTATTGTTATTGTTATTGTTATTGTTATTGTTATTGTTATTGTTATTGTTATTGTTATTGTTATTGTTATTGTTATTGTTATTGTTATTGTTATTGTTATTGTTATTGTTATTGTTATTGTTATTGTTATTGTTATTGTTATCGTTATCGTTATCGTTATCGTTATCGCTATCGCTATCGCTATCGCTATCGCTATCGCTATCGCTATCGCTATCGCTATCGCTATCGCTATCGCTATCGCTATCGCTATCGCTATCGCTATCGCTATCGCTATCGCTATCGCTATCGCTATCGCTATCGCTATCGCTATCGCTATTATTATTATTATTATTATTATTATTATTATTATTATTATTATTATTATTATTATTATTATTATTATTATTATTATTATTATTATTATTATTATTATTATTATTATTATTATTATTATTATTATTATTATTATTATTATTATTATTATTATTATTATTATTATTATTATTATTATTATTATTATTATTATTATTATTATTATTATTATTATTATTATTATTATTATTATTATTATTATTATTATTATTATTATTATTATTATTATTATTATTATTATTATTATTATTATTACTCCGTATTACTTTACTTGTTGTCTTTTGATGCCTCACAACATCACGTCACAACATGAGCACAATCAAAACTTTAGAAAAATATTTGCTCTTTAATAAGGTTTTATCTTACCATGTTACTAAAACAATACTAAGCTCAAATGAACTACTTATAACAAAACTATGCATGTCATACTTACAAGCTGCCACTGTTACACATGTTATTGAGAACACTTGCAGGAATTTCGGAAAGTTATTTTACAGTGAACACAAACAACATATATATGGTTATAAACTTATAACTATATATTTTGTAGTTTCTTTTTTAAAATTTAGAATTTTCTTCCTTGAATGGGTGACTATCGCGGGCTTTTTAATACACTCGGTGCTTTAAATGTTTGTAGCTACGAGTACTTTTTAAAAAAATAAGTCATATTCTTGTTAATTATTATTGAATCCATAAATTATATTTGTGCCAATCTTTAATTTAACAATTTTTATGATAGTCATTGGAAAAAAATAAAGATGATCTCAATTTTTACTCTAATTGACTATCGTGGTGCTCGTGAGAATAGTCTTCATGTAGTTTTTTTTGCATGTAAACAAAGCAGTTGAAAACTAAAGTGTTAGAATGATCATATATATCATAAATTAACCAGCCATATTATTCAAATTGAGTTGTGATTTGTTGTTTTAGAAGAAATTGCTTCAAATTGAAGTAAAACACAGACAAAGTGCATACATAGAAGTGATTATATTTTATTTCCAAAATATGAGTTATTTGATTATATTAAAAGCATAAAACCATTCAAATTAGGAGTGAATGAACCATACTTTATAAGAAAATAATCATTTGTGCAATTTATCTACATTTTAGCATGATGTGAATGAAAGATTTTTGGTTTATTTCCAAAAATAAGACTTAAATGCTATGGACAAATATATGATCATTTTCAAAAAATTACAAAAAAGAAACTAAACTACTATCGATGACAATTACCAAACACAACAATGACCAATTCGGCCAATGACCAATCGAACGAATGGTCATGACCAACTCGACTAATGACCATGACCAAACCAACCAGTGACCATGACCAAACCAACCAGTGGCCCGACCAATGACCAATTTACATGTGACCAATTGCTCGACTAGTATGACCAATTGCTCGACTAGTATGACCAATTCGATTACTGACCATGACCAATCCGACCCTGCTTTGACCCCCCACCGCACCTCGCTCACCAGCCCCATCCTTAAAACCCCAACCCTCCTCCCTACCCAGCCCCCCTCCAGTACGCTCCCCTAGCCCCCAATAGCCCCAAGCCCCCAACCCTCTTGCAGCCCCCCAACAGCTCCCAACACCCAACCCAGCCCTTCCCCTTCACAACCGTCTAGATCGCCTTCCAAGTCGTCCGTTCCCCGTCGGTCACAGAGTCAACGACGAAGATGGATGGAGGAGGAGGAGACCGTGGTGACGAAGACGCAGGCGATGGGGATGGTGACCGACAATGGAGAATAAGAGATTTACCTACAATTTTCTGAAGTTCAAAACTACCAAATTACCACTGAAGTTCATTTTTCCTCCAAGCTTGGACAAGTAAATCAATCGTTACAAGCTGCCTGCTAAACGGGAGATAAAATTGAATTAAAATTGTAATTGTAAAATATAATTAATTAAATCGGAAGCAAATATTTTTATAAAATTATTTAAGACTGCAACGGTAAAGCAAGTTGATTTCGTTTAATTAACAATGCAACAATATAGCAAGTTGATATTCTTTAATTTAGTATTTTTATTTAATGTCATTGCTTTGTTAATTTTCTCATGAAATAAATAAAGTTGATCTTTTTCATTTTTTGTGTTGTTAATATTTCTCATTTTTTTTTATTTGATTTAACAAAATATATAAGTTGTATACTTATGATGGAGTATATTGTACATACAGTGATACAGATATACTCCAAGTTATAAAGAAGATGATCCAGAGCTAAGGCCCAACACTGAGACCGTTGTTATAGTCTATTTGTTGGCGAGAATGTTCTATTCTAGGCTGAGCTTCACCAGTGAGGCCGAACTTAAAGATTTGAAACAATTATCCCATATGACTAAAACTCTTTCACTTTCTCAATCTATGACCTAACTAGTTTTTTCCACAAAATAATACCTAAATTCATATTATTTAATAATAATTCGTAATTAATAAATAAATAAATATTTTAATGGACAAATATACCCTTTACACTATACCTATATAACCCTAACATCTCTACTCTTTTTCTACAAAACCTAGCAACCAGCCGCACACATCCACCAGCCTCCTGTGCTCACCGCACACCCTGCCGCCGCCATCCCCCAGACCACTGCACGCACCCACGACCGCCGTCCACCAGTCCATCTCTAGTTCCACGAATGTTCGCCGCCGTCGCCGCCAACCGACCACGCCAGTACGCCACCGCCATCCCTACACCTGCGCGCCGCTGTCGTCTCGAGCCGTGGGCGCCGCCTCCATCCCGATTCATGCTCGTCAACATCGTCCCAAGCCCTGAGCGTTGCCGTCCTCGTCGCCGTCCAGCCGCATGATTGCACTCGATCCAACTCGCTGCCGCTCAGCCGCGCCCCTCTGCCGCCCCTACAACTCAGATTCTTCAGTCAAGGCGGCCAAGGTTGATGGCGAACCGAGGTTGAAGACCCTAGGTTGAAGACGATGAAATAAGTGTGCAATGAATAATTTATATTTAATGCCGTGAACATCACAAGAAGCGCAATGAGTTATGACAAAACCTGCAATGATATGGCAAGAAGTGCAATAATGTAAAAAGTGGAATGACATGAAAGAAGTGCATTAAAAATGACATGAAAAAGTATCTATAAATTCGTAGCATCATATGTAATATTTAACCAAATGTAAGAACTAAAGTTATGAAATCTAAAAAACGCTAAATTCATTTTATGTAATGTTATGTCGTGCAGTGAATACCACCATAAAGTGCAATAAATGTAGTGCAATAACACTTTCATGAAGTGCAATATTTTTACCCGGACGAAATTAGTGTAAAATGCATATTTTTAAAAAAAGGGTATTTTTGTCCTTCCACAATTTAATATTACGAAAAATTCTTTTTTTTTTCCGGTTTTTGGTCATATTTCAAGAAAAAAACATAACTAGTCACATTTCGAGAAACTCACTTTGTTTTAGTCATATCCCGGGAATTTTTCCTACCACGCGTAGGATTCCGCACTAACGCTACCCCGGAAGAGAGCAAACGGACCAGATCCGCATGGACTCGACTACAATTTCTACACCTAACTATTTCATTGGCATACCCATCCTCGGGGCATACATCATAGCGCTATCGGTGACATCATAACCTATTTCCCAAGGACCGACATCACCACTGACATCATGACCCAGCATCTAAGGACCAACATCACCCCATGTCAACATGAAACATATTTACCAAACAAGACAAGATCAATTCAAACAAAACTAAATCAGACTCTACAAATTAAATTAGACTAGATTAAATTAGACTAGATAGACAAAAAAACAATCAATCAATCGAATTAAAAATGTAATTACCCATTTTAAGAATTTAGGGAACAAGACTCACATTGTGTAAATTCTCTCACCCGCCATCCCTCATTTTCAACAATTTTCCCTCTCAAACGGAGTAATCAAGTGTGATCCCCCTCCTCCTGCAATCATCGCCCCAAATTCTCCCACCATTCAGAGACAGAGACAGAGTGACAGAGATGACGATTGAGATGCTGAAAGGTTTGCCGTTCTCGGTAGACACATGGTCGCCGAATTCGAGCAGGAAGCGGCACCATTTCCTCACGCATGCCCACAAAGACCACACTCAAGGGATCTCCACTCACGCCTCTTATCCGATCTACTGCACCCTTATCACCAAGGCTCTAGTCCTTCAACATTACCCTCAGGCATGTCTGATTGCGTTATCTTTCTTCTTCTTCCTCTCTCTGTCTATGTACTTGCTCTGATTCTGCGTTTTCTGCTCGTTCTATTATTCTTCACTCCGCAGCTTGACGGGTCAGTCTTTGCGACTATTGAGATGGAGCAGAGTTTGGAGATTGAGGATCCTGATGGCAAATTTATGGTCACCGCCTTTGATGCCAATCATTGTCCGGGTAAGGACTTCATATAAGTAATTGGACCCTTTAAAAAGAAAGTCTTTAGTGGTTTTGTATATGCTTAATCCCGTAAGGCTTTGTTCCGTATTACTATAAGTATGATTATTATTATTATTATTATTATTAGTGTTACAAAATTCTCCAATCTTGAAAAGTTGTTTTCACTTTCGTACTGGCTGTTTCAGAACCTCCTTAACAACAACAACAACAACATCCAAACCTTATTCCCAAAAGAGTTGGGGACTTGGGGTAGGCTAACATGAATCGACATATGATACATTGTTTTTGAAGTAGGATAATTTTCAATATATTTAATAAAAAAGGTTTAAGTTTGATTTTTAGGTTAGTATACAACACATGTCATGCCTCAAAATCATAAAGAAAATTTAAAACAGTGATAGCTACACTTAACTAGCACTTGTTTAAGGGATTTGAGAGCTAACTGGTACTGCTTAGAAGTTCATATTTTTTATTTTTCTGTCCAATGAAATCTTCTTGAACTTTCAGGAGCTGTTATGTTCTTATTTGAAGGGATATTTGGTAACATTTTGCATACTGGAGATTGCAGACTTACTATTGAGTGTTTAAGAAGATTGCCAGAAAAGTATGTCGGGAAGAAAGGAAGAGAGCCTAGGTGTCCACTTGATTGTGTTTTCCTGGATTGTACTTTTGGTAAGTTCCCATCGAGGATGCCCACCAAGCAGTCAGCAATCCAACAGGTATAGTTTATATTTGTTCCATTAAACCCTTGTTCGGTTGAAGGATTTCAAAGGGGAAGGAAGATGATGGGAAATATAGCTTTTGCTAATTTATTCTTACATTTAGATGGTTTAAAGAAAGTGAAGATGGAAAGTTGTACAAATTTACACTTTTTAGCTATGCATATACACAGTAGTTATTTTCTAGTTTGTCTCTATTCTCTAAGGAACAAAAAGATATCAAATAAGTTAGCAAGCAAAAATGAATACCCCACCAATCCCTTAACCAAACAAGCCCCAAAAGTCAAGGTGTATGCTAAGTGCTAACATTATAAAGACTATTCAATCTCATTAACCTAAACACTTGGACTATTTAATGTTTTATCTTTGCCTATCTCTCTTGATCTTGACTTGCGTTGTCTCAGTTTTCCATTGGTTACTGGCTTTTTGTTGCTGCACTTATCACAAGTTCATGTTGCACTTGCACCTTCTTTAATTTACTTGTTCATACTTTAATGGACATACAATTCTACAAAAAACAGGTCATAAACTGTATATGGAAGCATCCTGATGCCCCAACAGTGTATTTGACATGTGATCTTCTTGGACAAGAGGATATCCTAGTGAACATATCCAGAACTTTTGGGTGTAAGATATATGTCGATAAAGTGAAAACTCCACAATTTTTCCAGACTCTAGAACTTTTGGTGCCTGAAATTCTCTCTCAAGACCCAATTTCTCGTTTCCAAATGTTTGATGGATTCCATGGACTATATGAGAGGGCAGAAGCAAAGATTGCAGAAGCTCGGGCAAATCATCAAAATGAGCCTCTAATAATCCGTGCTTCTTCACAGTGGTATGCATGCAGTGACAAAGAGTGTTCAGATATGCAGAAACAGAAAAAGGAAAGGTTTGACCAAGCAGTGAGAGATACATCGGGAGTGTGGCATGTCTGTTATTCAATACACTCTTCCAGGGAAGAACTGGAGTGGGCCCTACAAATTCTTGCTCCCAGATGGGTTGTTTCGACTACTCCCACTTGCAGGGCTATGGAACTGGATTATGTGAAGAAGCATTGCTTTACACGTAAGCGTGATATGGACGATCCGTTTTTGAAACTTTTGGAGATTGATGTGTGTGCATCATCTCAAGGCATACCGAAAGAAGCTTCTGTCACATCTGTTGTCACCTCTGAGGGTAATAGTAAGATCTTAACCCAACTGGCAGTATCACCAAGTAGGAAGGTGCAGCATATTCCTCCTCCGAGGAGGAAAAGGTTACCCATCACCTTATTTGGTAGAGCTAGGCATGGGATGGTGGATCCCTCTTTTGCAGAAGTCAATAAAGCCTCTAAGGTTTCTGATAAGAATCATGCATCAGTTGAAATTAAGATAGACTTAAGTAAATCCAAAGAATCAAATAATGGCTTGTCAGAGAATGTTACTATGGAGGGGGAGGAGATATCACTGGAACTGGAGATGCATAATTATAAATCTGAGGAGTGCAACTCAACAGATGATATAAAGGAGCACCAGAAAAATGTTTCTGATATTACACCTAATGGCTTGTCAGAGAATGTTACTTTGGAGGGGGAGGAGATATCAGTGGAACTGAAGATGCATAATTATAAACCTGAGGAGTGCAACTCAACGGATGATATAAAGGACCACCAGAGAAGTGTTTCTGATAATACACCTAATGGATCGTCAAAGAGCTTTAGTGCAAGCTTGAGAAGGTTATACCGGTCTATGAACGTACCGGTACCTGAGCCTCTTCCATCACTTGTGGAACGTATGAATGCTAATAAAAAACGTGCAAGGTGGTTGTGTAACTTGTGAGTGAGATGTCCTCTCTGCCTTGTGGTTCAGCATTGTCTCAAATTGGTTCTTTCTCTACTCTTCTGTGTTTCCATGGTTAAATCTGAAGTTCTTTTACAGAAAGTGGGAAGTTCTTAATGCAATTCATATGGTACACTTTCCTGGGAGCCTTTTAGGCATTGTTGCAAACCAAGTTTTTTTTTTTTACTTTGCTGATAGGTCACTTTGTTCCTGATTTTTTTTGTACAGATAGGCTCTTTTTTTATGCTTGCATATTTATTCAAATTGCAGAGACCAATTTTGTCCTTGTGGAGATTCAGGTTATTAAACATTGTCTATGGAAAGCGATTCTTTCATTTCCTTTGTAATATAAACAATCAACTTTTTATGGTTCATGTCATCATGTGCATGAATATAGTTCTCTTTCTACTTGCTGGCGTGTATTCTGGCGTGTTTTGAAAATTGACAATGGGTCTATGTATAAAAATATCTTTAATGGAAGAGTATCTCTTGTCATTGATAATCATATGCTACTAGTATTACTATCCAGTTCTCTGTTCTTACTCGCTACCTCAGAAGTCAGTTTTTTTTTTTAAATTCATCTAGGATTCTAGGGTATGTAGCATGACAAATTATATTGTGGGATCGACCCACCTTGAACATTGTGTGCTGATCCCAAATGGTGCCGTTTCATTAATAAAATTAATCCTTCGCTTCCCACATAAATCGCCATGATCCGTTCTTGAGCTCCTCCCCGGCCATAATGAAAATTTTCTAGCTAATCAGTCATTTGCATCACATCAAACTCAAACAAGGGGCAATAATTACCCAAAACACATAAAGGCATCGTTCCCCTCTCGATTTCTCAAATATTTCCCCACTAAATCTATACAATCGAGTATCAGCCGTAACTATCTAATTCTTCTTCAACTGTGCGCTTATTACAAAAATAAAATGAATGTTTGATGCCAATGGAACTTAGCGATTAATTCAAGTTTTTTTTGTTCAAGTTTCTATAGGGGATAGTCATCCGATCTAAGCAAATTAAAGTTACATCTTTATTAAAAGGATTTTACATTTCCATTTATCTCAAGTTACATACTCCCTCCGGTTTTTAATAAACTTCACACTTTCCTTTTTGGGATGGTCTAAAATAAACTCCACACTTCCTTATTTCCTTTTTTGGCAAAGAAATCTACATCAAAACAGTGCCAAACAGTGTCAAATAGTGTCTCAACAGTGCCAAACAGTGTCTCTACAGTGCCAAACAGTGTCAGACAGTGCCTCAACAGTGTACTCTACAGTAAAGTCAAATTTCTTTCCTTATTTTGTGTGAAGTCAAACTGTGAAGATTAAAAAAAACCGGAGGTAGTATATATTAACGTGAGTTACATGTCAACTTTCCTCAATGAGTTACATCATACTTACACCTGATTTACATTTTCCATAATGCGAATTACGCTACAATATAATGTGAGTTACACAAGAAAATAAGCTCTTGCTATTCAAAGGAAATTATTTTTATAGAAATAAAAAATATAAAATGATTCTTTATAAAAATATTTTGGGAAAATGGAAACTAATAATCCAACCTTTTAGCGGTCTTCTTACAATAGTCCCACCTTTTGATTATTCATGAATAATTCAACCTTTGCACCTTATCTTCATTCACTGGTCCCTGACCGGTTGATGACATACTATTCCAAGTTATTTTCTTATCTTTTCAAACCATTATACCATAAATCTCACCTTTCACAAAGATAATATTTTGCAAAGATAAGAAAATAACTTGGAATAGCAAGTCATCAACCGGTCAGAGACCAGTGAATGAAGATGAGGTGCAAAGGTTGGATTATTCATGAATAATCAAAAGGTGGGACTATTGTAAGAAGACCACTAAAAGGTTGTATTATTAGTTTCCATTCAAATATTTTTTTATAAAAACTATATTTCAAGTGGTATAACAAGTTGAGAGTAAAGCAAGTTACATATTCCGGCGCGTGAGTTACATTTAAAAACACTGGATTTACATTTTACAATAACACGAGTTACATATCAATGCAAAAGATTTACATCACAAAAAAATTTAAGGCAAATGTAAGGGTACTGTTCACACGATTTTTTTTTAAATTAAAGCTTAAATCTAAATGACACCATTTTATATGTGGGACAGTGGGAGTAACCGAGTAGGATGCTCACCATGGGATGATCCCACGACATAACAACTTCTACCAATCGTTTTTTACTCTGAAATACGTTATAATGATTATTTTTTAGTATTTATACATAGTAACTAGTCATATTTTTGTTCAAAAAAGATAATTAGTAACCCTATTAGTAATACACAATCTCATTTTTTTCATAATTTTAATGTTAATCACCAAACGGGTTGCAATTTTAATATTAGTCATGCCACACCACACAAAGTCAACACATGTGAAGCTGGTCGCACAAGAGAGACCAATTGGAATGGGGGAAATCTCGCCTTATCCACACTCTCAGCCACAATCCTAACTTCATTCTTTTCCACATCCCCCTCCTTCCTGATCAACTCATCAAAGAATGATCCAAATACCAATTTCAATCCTCTTAATCCCATCTTTTCATCAAGTTTGTTTTTCCCATTAATATTTCTAGAAAGTAATCCCATCTTCAAACAGCAAAAATGGCTGCCATGAACTCCAGCGTGTTATGCAACAACTATGCCATATCATCACCCGCTGCTTCATCATCTCAGTTCATTGCAAAGAGTGCTTCTGCAATGACAACTCCAATTCCAACTTGTTCTAAACTGCCTCCCACAATCAAGTTTCAGAGACAAGAAGCAATTCGTATGGAGACTGAAAACGAAAAGGGCAGAAGAGTTGCTCTGCTTACCCTTGCAGCTGCCCTTTTTGCCACTGCTGCTTCTCCCTCTTCTCCTGCAAATGCTGGAATCATAGAGGACTATCTTGAAAAAAGCAAAGCCAACAAGGTAATTAGCTACTACTGTGCCCACTCCATTTGCAGTGACGAACAAAACTACTCTATAATCTTTGCAAAATATTACTCCTTATTAAGACTTGGGGCTTGTTTTATTCGGAGAGGAGGCATTGATAATTGGTTTTTTATTGTATTAATTTTTTCTTTATTAGGTGGGTTTAGATTGAAATTAATTGCATCACTAGTTACATTATGTATTTCTATATAGTTTTTATCTTCACTTTATTTATCTAAATGCAGAAATGATTTAAAAATATACTCCGTATAAATAACCCTTCCCTTCCCAAATCACTGAACCATACAAGTAATCTCCATAGTTTTATATTATATCAATGTGAGAATGTGAGCTAACTGAAGAGTTACGAATATGTAAATTCAGGAATTGAATGACAAGAAAAGACTGGCCACAAGTGGTGCTAACTTTGCCAGAGCCTATACTGTTCAGTTTGGAACATGCAAGTTCCCTGAAAATTTCACTGGCTGCCAAGACCTTGCCAAACAAAAGGTTTTATTTTGAACTCTTCTCAATTTATGGGGGAAAAAGGTTTCGTCCCACTTTTTGTTGACAAGAAGTACCCGAGAATGTGGTATTAATAAGCTAAAATAAAGTTTCATGATGGAATGACAGAGAGTAGCATTCATCACTGATGACTTGGAATTGGAATGTGAAGGCAAGGATAAACACAAGTGCGGTTCCAATGTTTTCTGGAAATGGTGAAGTGTGTAAGCCTGTGATCATCATTCCTAAGAAGTATTTACATATCATTTCCTCCATGTAAAACCTATAATTCATGAGTTGTTTTGTCATTCCTAATGCATATAATTGTTAGTACCTACTAATCTAACTTTTAAATTTTAAATAAGATGAGAAAGTCCACCTCTGATATGGTGGGTAAAAATTTGAGTAATTTCTCCTACAGTCCTACTTCAAGACTAATGCATGTTAGCACATAAATCCGTAGAGTCATTTCTCTTCAACTGAGAACACGGCAAAGGGAAAACACCATAACTGGCACCAGATATATATTCACAATTCCATCTCGTTGACGTGACAAGGCCAAAGATGCTTATGTTTTTGATGCATATGCCCTCAAATGGTGATTCCTTTATACCCTGCAGCAGAGGCGCTCTCCTTGTTTCCAAACTCACAACATTGCTGACTGATATTCCCTTGACTACTGGTAGCGCGTTAGGGTCCCACCCTTCATCGGGGTGGTCATTAGCGCCTCTGCTGAACCTGAGGGGAATCTTGACCCTCTCCATTGTAATGTTGTGTATGGTGATGTTTAGGATGTATCCTCCTCTCCCTTTGTCTGTCTTAATCCGAACCCCTGCTGCCGAATCTTTGATGTAAAGATCCTTAATGATGACATTTGAGACACCCCCAGACATCTCGCTCCCAATCCCCACCCCGGAGCATGTTGGGGTTGTGCCTGAAACTCTTTGGATAATGACATTTGTGCTTGGCCGGGCAGTTCTCATCCCATAGTGGTCCCACCCGCTCTTCACGGCGACAAGATCGTCACCACTCTCAATGTAACAATCTTCAATACAGACATTTGTGCTCGAATCTGCCAAAAGATTACACATATTTCCAAACATCAGCAACTTTTTCTCATATACGTCAGAGTCTCATATAGGAATACTCAAGAAAGAGATACCTGACATTAAAGGGTCTTGGTTAGATTATCAGATTATGTACCCATTGAATCTAATCTTTTAGTGTGGATGAGGTGGGTTGTATGTCATACTTATATTTCAAACTATGGATTGGTGCCTAAGAAACGAACAAATCACAGTAGGACTGGTGTCTAATACAGCCTTACGCACCACAAAGGATCCTTAGAAGGTACTTATATATTAGACGCTAATATATGTTATCTGTTGTTCGACACTTTATTGTTATTTTCCAGTTAAAGGAGCTTGACCAAGCTATGAATTATATCAATATCAGTGTTCTAAAAAATTCAGTCAAGCTCTGTCTAGATGTTAGGCTTCACTTGACTGACTCAATTCATTTCTTATTTCGGCATCGAGTCAGCCCTTTTATGCGCTAGTGCCTACAACTGTGGTAAAGGGAGCTACGTGTGTTAATAGTTTCACATCGAAATATTGAAGAGGGACATATGAGTTGTAAAATCTTGGATTAGACAGGTTATTTCATATTATATTGGTTTTAATAATTTAGGTGATCTAGCTCAAGTAAATTATAGTCCAGCTTAGTGGCCATGCCCCAATTGTGAATTCTATCAATGTGAAAAGTACCTGGATCTATGCCATCCGTGTTCGGAGCGTTGAGAGGAGCCAAGATTGTCATGCCTCTAATCACCACATTACTTAAAAAACAAACAGGTTTTGTGGAATGTTAATATTTTTTTTGTAGAATTGCATTTAATAAGAATTATTTGTATGACCCACAATATAGTTTAGGATTTAGGCGAAAAAGTAGAAACCATTAAACCAAGGCAAGGTGAGTTATAGTCTATTTATACTTCAAAGGGGGGTATATAATAAGTAAGAAAATAAAAGCACCTGCAATAAACAGGATGAACATTCCAAAATGGAGAGTTGAGGAAAGTGAGATTAGAGATGAGAATATTATTTGAGTTGACCAGTTCTACAAGGTGGCCTCTTGTGTTCTTCAGTGTCTTGTTCCACCAAAGGTCCCACCACATCTTTCCCTGCCCATCAATTGTTCCATTTTCCCCTGAAAATAAACTGAATCTAATTGTTCAGATGCCCTTGAGCAAAGACACCATGGAGTTTCCATCTATTACTCATCTACAGACTGAGAAACTCAATATCAGATAAAATGTATAGATTCTTTAACTAGGAATTGTGTAAAAAAAATTGATTCTTAAACTCAATAAAGATTCTTAAAAGTATACCACATGCATGCTCACTGTTTAGGCCACAAAAAATTGTCTAGGCTTGAAAATGCTTTTGACATGTTTAGGCCTAGAAAATGAAAAATGCGAATTGGAGTTATTTCTTGTGTTTGGTGTAGGGGTGGACTCGGGCCGGTTTGGGCCTGGGCCCGGCCGGGCCTCGGTTCATGAAAGGGGAGGCCCGGAACCGGCCCGGGTAACCCCCGGGTCCGGGCCGGGCCGGGCCTTGGTTCAAATATATATATATATATATATACATATATATATATATATAGGGAGCGGTTCCGGTAAGAACGCATCTTAGGAGAAAAATGAGAACGAATCTGGACCGTTGGATTGAATTATGTGGAACTGAATTCTGCATTTGATGAAACCGAAATGTGCATTAGATGATATTGAAATGTGCATAATAAAAATTTAAACTCACATGTGCATTAGGTGAAACTGAGATGTGCAGAATAAAAGGTTCTAAAATAACATCACATCGTACCTTTTATTATGCACATTGTAGTTTCATTTAGTGCACATTTCAAATCCACCTAATGCACAATTTAGCTTCACATAATGCCACTACATTGTACTCTTTGTGTTGCACATTTCAATTTCACCTTATACACATTATAGCTTTATCTAATGCACATTGAATTTCACATAAAGCAAATCTAACGGTCCAGATTCATTCTCATTTTTCTCATTAGATCATGTTCTTATTTGAACAAAAACCTATATACACACACACACACACACACACACATATATATATAGTACTCTTCCGGTCAGGTATACCTGACCGGAGCCCCGTCCGACCTCCTCCATTTGGGGGTCTTCCCGGTGGTATTTTTTGCTCAAATTTTTTGTGTAGGTTCCTCATAAAATCTAGTTCATCCATACCAAATTTCAGCCAAAAATTCAATCGGGAAGGTCGTCAAATGATTTTTGCAAGTTAACTGGTCCGGAAAATACATATTCCGGACCAGTTAACTTGCAAAAATCATTTGACGACCTTCCTGATTGAATTTTTGGCTGAAATTTGGTATGGATGAACTAGACTTGATGAGGAACCTACACAAAAAATTTGAGCAAAAAATACCACCGGGAAGACCCCCAAATGGAGGAGGCCGGACGGGGGGAGTGGTCCGGCCTGGCCGGACCTGAATATTAGTCTATATATATATATATATATATATATATATATATATATATATATATATATATATATATATATATATATATATATAGAATAAAGATCAAATGAGAACATTGCTTAACGTGAGAACGTGAGAACACCACTTTTTCCCCAACGTGTTGCACAATGAAGCTTGTATATTGCACATTTTCACATTTTAACAGTATTTACAAAAATGCCACCGTGTTTATTTATTATACTCTTATTTCGACCAAATTGAAAATGTGCAACAGAATAGCTCCATTGTGCACCACATTGATTTAAATGTGAGTGTTCTCACGTTCTCACGTTAAGCATCGTTCTCACTGGAACCGCACCCTATATATATATATATATATATATTGCTTTTCCTAATTAACCCCCAACCCTCCCCCCTCCTCCCGAAACCACCCCAAATGGCCCAAAATACCCACCCCAAACCCAAAAACTTTAAAAAAAAATCAAAAAAAAAAGAAAAAAATAAATAAATTGGCCCGGACCGGGCCCGGAACCCCAGCGGGTCCGAGCCCGGACCGGAACCCCAGCGGGTCGGGCCTACCCGGACCGGTCCCTGGCCGGGCCGGTGGTTCGGGCCGGTTCAAACATGAACCGGTTCGGGCCGGTTCCGGGGCGGGCCGCCCGGCCCGAGTCCAGGCCTAGTTTGGTGTAACTTGGAGAATGAAGTATGATTGTTTTTCGTACTTGCCACTAGTTGTAGTAATAAGTTACTACCTCCGTCCCATTTTATGTGTCTCCTTTTGTTTTAGCACAATTTTTAATAAATTGATTGAAAAAGTAAAAGTTGTGGTTGAGATTTGAATATAATAAAGTGAAATGTTGTAAATCATATATTTTTTTTCTAAAAAGAGAAATGTGACATTTATTTTGGGACAACCCAAAAAGGAAAGTATGACAAGTAAAATGGGACGGAGGAAGTAATAATTATGCTCTCCCTTGTTTGGTATGTTGGGCAATAATAATAGAGAATAAAACAAAAAAAATTATGCATTTGTTGTTTAAAAAATCAATTCACTGAATACGATTACATTATTTACATACTCCATCTTAGTATCTTACCACCCTAGTTTGCTAAACTACATGCATACATTTCATTCAACTTAAATACGAGTATATATTTTTCACAATCATCAACTGTTGGTCGGCGCTGCTGGAATGCGTTACCAACACCTTACTTCTATTGTCATCTTGCTACCGAGTATGTCATAAAAACATATTTTTAGGATTTCAAAAGTAAATACCATGCATCTATTTAATCACATACAAAGGATGTTTTCTTTTGGACTGTTTTCAGTCCCAGACCAGACTTAAACAGACCAGACCAGACCAGACTTCCGTAGTTATAAAATACACAGAGACCAGACGTTTACCAGACCAGACCAGACTTAAACAGACCAGACCAGACCAGACTTAACCAGACTAGACCTGCAAATTTCAGTCCAAAAGAAAACATCCAAACACTGAGTACTATGTCCATATGGTAGGAGAAAAACAATACCCGTAATTACCACATCAGAAAGACTATTTCCATGAATGAGGCTAATATGTCTCCCTCCCAATCTTTCTCTTCCTCGTCCATAAGATGGCAATGCCTGAATGATAGGCCATTCATTTGGGTCCTTGAATTTTTTAAAATGACAAGTCAATCAATTGATAAATCATATCTCCATTAACCTATATAATTATAAATCAACCAAAATATTGGAACTCATTAATTTTTTTTAAAGAGAAGTCATTAAATTATTTGTTAACTGAGTAGAGACATCGAGTGATCGAAGGGAAAAAAAGGTTGTACTAAATAATTCAGTGATAAAATACCGTGTTAAACCTTC